CACACACACACACACTCACCTGAGAGTATAGTGATTATTCTCCTCACAAGTGTTGTGAAAATTCACATACTGTACAATGTTTGACATTCTCAAGTGATTTAACAGCACTGTTATGCACAGCTCTGCCAACCGGAAGGTGAGAGCACACACTGAAACTGCTGCTCTGAATTGGAGTTGTGTAACATGCTGTGGGTCTGTGTGTGTGTGTGTGTGTGTGTGTGTGTATGTGTAACAACAAGAAGACACTTTGTGCAGCTAAAGCTGAAATAAAGTGAACACAAAGCAGTAAAACACAGTGAAAAGACTGAGATGGACGAGTGAGTGAGTGGGTGAGCTGTTGGGAGTTGAATGTGGAATGTGCCGACACACAGGCAGAAAGGGGTCAGAGAAAAACCAAGTTAAAAAAAAAAGTGAGACAAACAAATTGTGCTCAAGAGCCTCTCCTGCTGTATAATGGCATAAAAGCACAACATCTCGCTCTCAGGTGGATGGAATTTGCAAAAGAAAATATTTGATACATGTATTAGTTGTTTGAGTAGGTGGAAGAGGTGATGTACAAAATTTCAAGCTAATTTTTGACATCCAAACGTAGATATTTCACTGTAAATGAATGCCACTGTTTGGGGTATTTTTGTGGGAGTTGGTGAGCCATAAGAAGAAGAAGCAGGTCTGCTGTCGTGTGGTGTATGGTTGATGATTAACCCTGCTGTGCAATGTTTGAAAGGGATAACAAATTAAAAATAGCAGGTAGTGGCCCTCAGTACTCTTCTAGTATATTGTGTTTTTATGTGTAAATCTTATAAACATGAAACCTTGTCATTTAAAGCTAAGTGACTTGAGCTCCAGCTCCTCAGCATGCTCAGACTTGTGCTGGGAATACTGGTAAAAGGTCAAAGGTTGTGACCTGACTTTGGAAAGGTTAGCACGGCTATCCCAAACCTTTCCTATCTTAACTAATGGCTCTTTCTAATGTTACTGCGGTCCGTGTATTACAGTTTCACTGGCGCTAACTTGCCCACACATGACAGACGAGTACTTTAATGTGTTCTGGTCTTCCTCAAATGTCCAGTCTTGCTGGTCAGAGGTCACATGCAGGCTGTCTAAAATCCTTCGCCTCACAGGTGCCCATTCTCGAACCAGTTCTTTGCGTTTTGACAGCCAAAGAACTGAGTCTTGGTTTAGGAAAACTGGTTCCAGTGAGGTACCAACACTTTAAACGTGCAACAGGGTCTGAGGGTGTCTTGTGACCAGCCAGCTATGTATTTATTAGCTGTTTAGCTTCTAACAGTTATTAAAGTTATTAAAGTTTATAATTGTAACACTGAGCTAGCTGGATAGCGAGCTAGCAAGCAAACAGTTTCTCCCATCAATATTTGTTGTTATTGTTGTTTTTATGACTGAAGTTTTACTGTTTTCCAATGTTTCCATGACAACACAAGACAGTAACTGACAGAAAACAGTAGGGGGGGA